TTTATGTGTGTATGTGTATATGCTTAGGGAAAAGAGTGTGTGTGTATGTATGGGTACGCGTTTGTGCATGCGTGTGTGTATGTAACACCAAATCAATGTGCCAGCGTATAGACAATAAAGATCTGTCATCGTATTTTATCTCAAATTTTCTTTTTAGCAATAGAGGCAACAATAATGTCAATTGATCCTACTTTTTAGTAGAGATGCTCTACCTAAATAATATATTGTAAGTTTGTAATGATTTACAGTTATTTTATAGTAAATTGGTTTAGAATATACTGAGGTTAAGTTTTTATTGTTTTCCTTTTAACCGCAACTGGCGTCTTCTCATCTGAACCTGATTTATTTTCTTATTTTTGTTGGGTTTTTTAAAAACTGTAGACAAGTGTAGTTAGTCTCACATGTGTGTTTGAAATGCAAGAACCTCCGGTCTGTGTCTTGTTTATTGATTGACAGCAAAAAACAGTGAAACTTGACGGGGTTCTCTAATTTTTTTGTGCAGCTTTTTGCTGTCTTTCAAAACTGTTGACTCCCTCCTCTTGAGGGTGCTCTGATAGCTTAATTGGTATCATGGTGGACTACGGAGTAAATAGCCCTGGTTTGAATCTCAGGCTGGGCGTTCTTGAATTTTGGACGTTTTTGGAGTTCTCAAGGCTCTCAACCCGTTTGGCTCAGTCCCATTGGATGGAGACGGATGTTAATTTTAGAGTTCTCGCCTCTTAAAAGACCTAAACTTGAAGTGTTGTTTAGGACTTTAGACCCATATGCATACTTTTCCTTTCTCTCTTTCTGTCCTGGACTGGCAGGTTCTTAACCATGAGCAGCACGAGAGGGCTGGGCAGAATGAGTATAACTTTGACCATCCCGATGCTTTTGACTTTGACCTAATGATCTCCACAATCCGGCGATTAAAAGACGGCAAGAGCATCAATGTGCCTATCTACAATTTTGCCACACATGCGAGAGAGAAGGAAATGGTGAGCGTTTCAGTTTTGTAACTATATCTTTCTTCATATCGACTGCTCGGCGTAAGACTCATTCTTGCATCACTTTTCATAGTGGCATGTGGTAGAGTCTTTACTCCTAGCTGTCGATATTGTTCTGTTCTCTTTCTCTTTGTCTCCTGCTCTTGAGTGCTTGTAGTCTTCTGGGGTTTTAAAAATTTTATTGTATATTTTGATATCATTTCTCATTTTGATGCATTGTAGTTTCAGGAATTTATTTATTCTGTTTAAGGTGTTGCTCAGAGACAACAATGCTTTTATTCCCTGATGTGGCTTTGTGAAAGCACAGTTGAAATCATCCAAATCGGCCAAGGAAAAAAAAGCTTGCTTTAGACAGGTAGAAACAGGGTAATTATTTTATTATAATAGAAAAAAACCTTAGGTGGGAAATGGTAATTTGTTCAGGGGGTTGTTTGCGATAGTTGAGCTGTAGAACAGGTTTGACGGTATATGGTGCTATCATTTTTTACGTCAAGGCCATAGGTTTTGCAGGTAGTTGGAGGGTGTCAGCAATACGTCTTACTTCTTCTCCCTCTGTCCATTGTTTCTATCTGTCTATCTTTGTCTTACTTTTTTCCCTGCAGTAAATGAGCATTACTGAGTCAATGTGCTTTTCTTTACTCAAACATACCAAAGGTCTTTCCCAAACAAAATTTTTATTCTTCTGTCATTTTCTGACTGTGAGTGTACTAATGTTATGATGGTGGCGATAGGCTTTCAGAATTTCCTAAATTTCACATGACAGTCCTGCGTTTAGTAATCAAGAATTTGAGAGCCGTATCGCATGTCCTACTCTAAAACCAGCCCCACTTAATGTAATTTTATTCGTTGTTATGTAAACTGATTATATAATGTTGGTGTCCCAGATTGAGTTTCCCAAAACTCGTCAAGCGTGCAATGCGTTCATTTTGACTTCTACGTTTTCCTCCACAGAAAACAATCTATGGGGCCAATGTTGTCATATTTGAGGGAATCATGGCTTTTGCCAATCTCGAACTTCTCGAGGTGAGGGGCGTTTTTCTTGTTTTTCTTTTTCGATTTAGTTTTGGTGAGAGTTTTAAGGCACCTGCAACACAATCAGGTCATTTAAGTGCTGAAGCTGAGAGCTGTTATACGAGTGTAACATACAAAGAAAAGAAGGAGGATAAATGAAGGCATTAGATGTTTGCAGGAAAGAAGGAGCAAATCACACCACAGCACCTGTCAACCACCCTCTGCTTGTTTTTCTCTCTGCAGAATGATAGGGAGAACGTCTGCATATATGGTTCTTACCCAGAAAATTGAATTTCCGTAGTTTGCTGCCTACATTAGGCTCACATGTTTTTCTTTTGAAGGGGGGGGGG